GGACTCGCGGCGCAGAAGTTGCTGAAGCGGTGTTCTTGGATGGTGAATTTCTCCAAGAAGCGCTGGAGCCGAAACGGCTTCGGCCCCGAAGCGTCCCTCTCCCTAGCTGCAAATCTACCCAGTCCTCCCGGCCCTCCGAGCCTCTCGCCGCTCGGATGGGCACTCGTCATCGCCGCCGCCGCTATCTCTCAGCGGCGGCCCCTCATTCATCAAAAACAGCGGAGCATGGTGATCCACGCGCGCAGCAAAAAGATGCTGCCAGACTCACACGCTTCGAGAGGTGAGACCTCACGACTCGCTCACTCATTTACCCGCCCGGCGCCGCTCTCAGGGCCAGCCGGCCCCGACCCGCCCTCGCCGCGAAACCCATCATCCCGAATAATTTCTGGAGCAAGGGTCCGTCATGGTGATTCGTGCCAGTGTAACTCAAGTCCTCGGGCCCTGGAACCTTCGCTACCCTCAGTTCCTTCTGTTGCACCGCCCTCTGCGGCCACGGCAGGCGGGCGTGGGCGTCGAACTCGCCCCACTCCGCGACGCTCTGCGATGCCCTTGCCCGCCGTCGCGCCACGCGCCAGCACGACCTCGAACTCCATTCCCCCATGTCCGTGGAAAGAGTCACAAGGCCGAGCCCGATGACGCCGCCCTTCGCGAGCGCGTGGAACTCCGCTTCTCTCATGGATAGAGCAGCGAATCCCTGGGCGATATAACTGCTCCTTATCCAGTGCCGACCGATCATAGCCGCGCACGGTGACGTAGCCTTATGTATTCTCAAGCAGCCTGCGAAATCGCCGTCTGCGCAGATCTGAGCAACTCGCCGATCTGCCTGCCGCGGATACTCAGCCACCGTCCTCGGGTTGCCGATCAGGCACCGGCCGATCCTCTCCATCGCTTGCCATCCTCCAACGGTCGGACCTTGCATCACTCGAGCCACCTTCCTCGCCGCACACTGTCTCGTAGCTCTTTTCCTTCCAGGTCACTCCGCTCGATGCCCGGCGTCGCCGCCGACTTGCTCTCCTTGCCCTGCAGACCCAGCTGCGCCAGGATGACATCCGCGCGCCTCGCGCCCGCCTCGCACTCGAATCCTCATCCTCGTCGCAGCCCGGCCTGACACACCTCGCCATGCGATGCGGCACCGCAATCGCGTCGACGCCCTCGCTCGACGAGTCAGAGTCTGGCCCCAGAACTCCTCGAACCATCACTGCGAGATGCTCGCTAAGCCTGGCGGCGATCTCCTCGGACTCTCTCTGACCTCCGAGCACCGCGACGTCGCCCCCATGTCTCCGCGCGACCAGCTCGCCGACCTGATAGGTGCACGGCGAGAATTCGCCCTGCCTCGAAATTAGAATCCACGCCATGATATCCTCCACAGCTCCGAGTGCAGGTGCGCTCTCGAGATGTCGATGAATGTCGGCGCTCGTTCTCTCTGCCCCCCTGCCATCGCCATCGGCGACGTCATCCTCGGGCTCGGCGGCGCGGCGTCGCCGCGAAGGTCGCCGCGGCGCCCTCCGGCCCGAGGGCGCTCAATTTCCGCGTCTCCTTCGCCGCGGGGCGAATCCCCAACTCCATGTTCTCGCCGCTCGGCAGCGGCCTGGCCCCAGTCACTCGGCGCCTCGCTCATCTCCCTCCGCGCGAGCACGCCCAGCTTGTTCATGTAGCCACTCTCGTCCACGCGCGCAGCCATGACGGCCGCTGGGCCTAGCGCCACGCCGCTGATCCCGTAGAAACTCGCCATCTCCTCCTCGGTCGCCCGGCCCAGGATCTCCGGCCCCTCGGCGGTCTGGCCCGCGTCGAACGCGCGGAGCCCGTGCCCGTTCTTAAGCTCGTTCCTGCTACTGGTGCCTCGCAAGATCGCCTTCGCCAACTCCACTGGACACCGCTCTGCCGCCTCTCCAGGAGGCGCACGTGTTCGCGGGTCCCATCGCGCATAATCCCCACCTACTTCGCCTCCTCGCGGCTGGCCGTCATCCAGCCTGTCGGCTTCGCCACGAAGCCCTCCGAGCCGCCCGGCCACTGCGACTTGGCTCCGAACGCGCACCAGCTGCCCTCGACCACGATGGCTCCCTGGAGGTCTCGAACTTACTTGATGCACTCCACCTTCCAGCTCGCATCCGTCCACGGATGCTCACAGAGGATGCACTTCGTCCTCTCGTGCTGGTCGGCCGCCAGCTCCACGCCAAATCTGAGGAAGACATTGCGCCCCGCGAGGGGCCTCTGGGACTTCACCCCATGTCTCTCGCCGCTTGCCTTTGCATCTGCATCAACTGCGCGAACGGCAAGCGCGCTGGCGACGTGACGAAGAACGCCGGGCCGCCCTCCTCGATCTCCGCCCTCGCTCGCCCCCGGCCCCCCTCACGCCGAAAGACCCCGCCCGCCGCGAGGTCCATCGCCACTCCTGGATTCAAGTAGAGCTTCGAAGCCCCCTTCGAACTCCCCGGGTTTGAACGCCTCCTGCAGGCCCTGGCTGTCTAGGCCAAGCTGCTCCAGCAGTGCGCCGATATCCTGCTCATCGCCGCGCGTCTGCACGCCCTCCACCGCCGGAGCGCTCGCCAACGCACCCCCTGATCAACCGGGTGCGCCGGGCTCCCCAGCTCGCGCTCGTTTGGCTTGAGGCTCGCCCTCCCGCTGCCTCCCAGGTCGCACTTGGCGCGCCTCCGTGACCCCCGCGGCGCCGCCGAACGTCAGGCCATCTGCCATCGCATTCTCGATCCTAGCTCTGCGCTCCTCGCCGCGCGCGAACGCTCGCTGGCTGCCTCAAGCCGCCGCGCGGCCTCTGCGATTCGGCGCGCAGCCGCACCGCCGCAGCCCCGCGCCCCCCCCGACGCAGACCCTCCGCGGCGCAAGAGGTCCCACAGGCCCAGGGGCCGGGGGCAGGTCCACGACCGGCACCGCCTGGTCCGCCACCACCTTGCTCTCTGAAGGCGGCAGTTCAAGTCCTTCTCCTTCCTGCCCAGGAACTGGCCTCCAGGGCACTCCCTTGAGCTTGGCGAACAGCGCCACGTCGCCCCTCGACGCCAGCGGCATCCTCTTCACGCCCCCGGCCCTCGTCACTCCCTGCGGCGCGGCCGCGCGCATCTCTCCGCCATCGCCCCGGGCGCCGTGAAGGACGGCCCCCGGCGACCGGTCCACCAGCCGCGACTCCCTCTTGCCGACTGGCAGGTAGAACATGGCATGTATAACAACTTCTCTCCGATCCCTGGGAGCGGCCTCTTGTAGGGTCGCCTCTTTCTCAGCTCGCGCGGCGCGCGCCCATCCGAGCTCCGCTGGCCTGTCGCGCAACGCAGCGCCGTGTCTAACTTGCCGCGGCAACGACGGATCGTTCGGCCCGATCGTGGCCCCGCGCATCTCCTCCATCGCGTGCTTGAGTGCCATCGCAAACACCTTCGCGCCCCTGACAGCTCCTTCCACCAGGCCGTTCGACGGCGACTCGCCGACCGCGGACGTCTCCGCCAAGCACGCCACCCCGCGGTCCTTCTTGAGCCTCTTGATGGCTTCACCCCTCGGAGCCGCGACGCCGCGCTGATTTGTCGCACCTGAGCACCGCCTTCTCGGCGCCACCGCTCAGCGCGAACTTCGCCAGCGCGCTGATGCCTCTGCGCCCGTGTATCTGCGCATTGAATTGAGCCCCTCGCAGAGAGGATCGGCGGCGCGCCCTCGCCTGCCCCGAGGCGGTCGCAGTCGAATGCCACGACGGGGGCCACGTCCTCCGAGCGGCAGCGGCATCTCGCCACATGAATTTCAGATCGACCCCGCCCTGCGACGCAGGGCCGGCGCCGCGCGCGGCGCAGCGTGCGCGACGCCTCGTGATCTTCAAGCTCTTGTTGAGTCGGCTCGCAGGGCCCACTCGCTGCTCTCGCCGCAGCCCTCTCTCCACCGCCCGCTGGAGCCATCGGCGGAGGTGCTGCTCGAGGCTGTGCTTCTCGAGCGGGTTCGCGCGCTGGCCCCAATGCCGCCGGCGCCGCCGCTGCCGACGACCCCCTTCCAGCCCCCTCGCCCTCGTCGCCCCTGACCATGCAGATCACCTTCTGCCCGCCGCTGCCGTTGCCAGGCTCGGAGAGCCCTCGGCCCGATCGATGACCGACTTCGCCATGGTGCGCGGAAGCAGCTCCACCTCCGTCGCGCGCGCGCTGCCCCTTCCCCCGCGCGGCGTCGCCGCCCCAGCGATCGCGTTCAATGCGCAACTGCCGCTCGCGCCGAAGACCGCTCGATGGCCGGCGTCGACCATCTCCGGAACTGAGGCGAGCGCCTGACCTTCGCCACCCTCGCCTTGACTCGCCTGCGCCGAGCCGCCCGAGTTGACCGTCGATCGGACCAGCTCCTTCGTTCGTGCCCTCGTCGGCGAAGAACCCCCCAGTCGCCGCGACGTAGCCCTCGCGCTTGGCGCTCATGTCGTTCTCGCACATCGGGCAGTCTGGCGCCGCCTCCCTCGGCGCGACCGTCGTCGCCGCGCGCGAGTCGACGCCCGCGGCCACCTCGCGGCTCGCGCGGCTCGCATCCGCGCCGAGCCCACTCAGCTCAGCTCGCGCGCCAGCTTGTCGCCCACCACGCCGCCATCCACCAGGTCGCACGCCCCGCGGGCCACATCCTTCTCGTCGACCAAGAGCGGCGCGATCCAAAGCCCGCGCGGCGCCCTCTACGGCGCGGGCCCCACCATGTGCAGGTTGTTCTTCGGGCAGTCCTTGGACACGTGCCCGCGCCCCTGGCATTTGAAGCACCTGGGCCCCTTGCCTGTCTCGCCGTCCGCCTTTCCGCCCTTGGAGCGGCCCTTCTCGTCGCGCGTCTTCGCCATCTTGCCGCCCTTGCTCTTGGACTTGCCACCTTCGCCTGCTCCAGCCCCCTTGTCGGCGCCGGCAGTTTGTCTCGTCGCGGCCCTTCCAATTGCAGATGCGACAGCGTCCTTTGCCTCCTCCGTTCTTGCTGTTGAATGCCGAGAGATCCATCGGGGCTGCTCCGTTCTGCACCGCTGCTGCTACTGCATGTGCTCGTCGAAAATTGTGAATCTCCTCTCGGAACTTCGACCGCTCTTTCAATATTCCCGTGTTCATGATCACGCGCTGCCTCAGCGGGGACTCGGGCGACTGCCTCAACGCGATGCCGATCTGGATCGCATTCGAGAGGTTCTCCTCCGACGCGGTCTAGAAAAAAGGGGGGGGGCCAAAAAACGCACAAAAACAAAAAAAAAAAAAAAAAAAAAAAAAAAAATCCCTCTTGAAGGCCCCCAGGCGAACCGTCATCACCATCATCTCTCCGCTGGACTCCCAGGCTAGAAGCGTCATCAACTGTCCCGCGTGTATGCTCGCTGCCTGGGGCTCGAATCGTAGGTGCAGCTGTCTCGAAGCCTCGGCCCTCTCCAGCTTGCAAGCAGTCAGCACCACGTTCAACACCTGGCTTCGGCACGTGTGGATCAGCCAATAGCCCAGCGCCCTGGACAACTGCTGGTCGCCCTCCTCGAGGCTGGCCGTGATCACTGGTTCCTGCTCTCTC